GGACGATCTCCGTCCTGCTCGCACAAGAGCTCCAACCAGCAGGCCGAGTCCTCCTATAACCCAATAACTCCCGAGGGAGTGATCACAAGGGAGGAGTTCGACCAGCTAATGAGCAAGTTCGATGCTCAGGTTGAAGCCTTGAAGGCCAGGTGCGAGAAAAAAGAAAGTTCGTTCGATGATGGTGACTTGGGAGAGTCGCCATTTACCTTGAATATCTTGGAGGCTCCGATCCCTCCAAAGTTCAAAACTCCTACCATGAAGCCTTATGACGGGTCTAAGGACCCAAAAGACTATGTTGAGGTCTTCGAATGCCTCATGGATTTTCAGGCGGCAACAGATGCAATCAAGTGCCGCGCCTTCCAGATCGAGCTCACCGGCAGCGCGCGCCTATGGTATCGAAGACTGCCGGCTAGGTCAATCTCGACCTACTCCCAACTGAGGAAAAAATTTATTAGCCAATTCTCTTCTCGGCACTACAATAGGAAGACAGCGACTCACCTCGCCACCATTAGGCAGAAAGAAGGTGAGACACTGAGAGAATATGCCACAAGGTTCCAGGAGGAGCAGTTGAAGGTCGCACACTGCTCCGATGACTCAGCCATGTGCTACTTTCTCACTGGCCTGGCCAATGAGACCCTCACCGTAAAGCTTGGAAAGGAGGCTCCAGCAACCTTCGCCGAAGTTTTGCAAAAGGCTAACAAAGTCATTGATGGACAAGAGCTCCTCCGAACCAAGACTGGCCGACCTGAGAAGCAGATCGACCAGAAGAAGCCAAGTCAAGAGAAGAGGAAGGTCGATCTCAAATCTAAGGACAAGGGATCGTCCTCTTCCGGCAGGAACTGAGTATCGTAGGTTGGAGATCGACCCCAATCGAAGCCGACCTTACGAACGTTATACTCCAACCACCATCCCCATCTCTGAGATACTTACAAACATTGAGGAAAGTGGGATGGAAAAGCTCCTCAAGTGACCTGAGAAGCTCCGAGGAGACCCAGAAAAGTGCAATAAAGATAAATATTGCCGTTTTCATCGCGATCACGACCATAATACATCAAATTGCTGGGAATTGAAGCGCCAGATTGAAGACCTCATTCAAGATGGCTACTTCAAAAAATTCGTTGGAAAACCGAGGTCCAACTCGGAAGAGAAAAAAGATGAGAGGAAGCGTTCAAGGACGCCGCCTCATCGAGAAGACCGACCTGCAGTCATCAATACCATCTTTGGAGGCCTAAGTGGGGGCCAGTCCAGAAACAAAAGGAAAGAGTTGGCTCGAGAAGCCAGGCGCGAGGTGTGCGCCATGAAGGAGCAGCAACCGACCTGCTCCATTACCTTTGATGACTCCGACTTGGAAGGGGTCCATCTGCCCCATAACGACACACTTGTGATCACGCCTCTCATTGATCACATCATGGTTCGAAGAGTATTGGTAGATGGGGGAGCATCTGCCAATATTCTGTCTCTCACAACGTATCTTGCCTTGGGATGGACTAGGGCACAATTGAAGAAGAGCCCAACACCTTTGGTTGGATTTTCGGGGGAATCAGTCTCCCCAGAAGGGTGTATTGACTTGCCGGTTACAATTGAGCAGGAGAGTACACAAGTTACGTAGATGGCCGAGTTCGTCGTGATCGACAGAAGGTCGGCCTACAATGCCATTTTCGGAAGACCTGTCATCCATTCACTTCGGGCTGTTCCCTCAACACTTCACCAGGCTTTGAAGTATTCAACCCCCAATGGGGTAGGCATAGTCCGAGGAGAGCAAAGGATGTCAAGGGAGTGCTATGCCTCCGCACTCAAAGGGTTATCAGTATGTGCCCTGGAAGAACAAGCCGGCTGGGACAAGTCGTTGGAATCCAAGGCCGACCTACCGCAAGTAGGTAAAAGGGAGTTCTTCGCAACAACAGAGGAGCTCGAGCTTGTTCCTTTGCTTAGCCCTGAAAGACAAGTAAGCATAGGAACCAAACTGGGGGCCACTGATAGGGAGGAGTTTATCAACTTCCTCAGGACCAACTCGAACGTTTTCGCATGGTCCCATGAGAACATGCCAGGAATCGACCCGAAGATCATGGTGCATCGCCTCAACATAGACCCATCATTCCGACCTGTAAAGCAAAAAAGAAGACCTGTAAATAGGGAGAGGAGTGATGTAATTGTTGAAGAAGTAAACAAACTTTTAAAAGCTTAATATATAAGAGAAATTTTGTATCCCGAGTGGCTCAATAATGTTGTATTAGTTAAAAAATCCAACGGAAGTGGAGAATGTGTGTAGACTTTACAAATTTAAATAAGGCATGCCCAAAAGATTGCTTCCCACTGGCAAGGATTGACCAGCTCGTGGACGCAACGGCCGGGCACGAGCTGCTCACCTTCATGGATGCTTACTCCGGATACAACCAAATCAAAATGCATGTTCCAGATCAAGATCATACCGCATAACAGACCAAGGTCTGTACTGCTACAAGGTGATGCCCTTTGGCCTAAAGAATGCGGGTGCAACCTACCAAATAATGGTGAACAAAATGTTCGCCAAGCAGATCGGCCGGAATATGGAAGTATATGTGGACGACATGCTCGTCAAGAGCAAGCAGTCAAAGTCGCATCTTTCCGATCTGGCCGAGGCGTTTGAAGTTCTCCGAAAATATCAAATGAAGCTCAATCCAGTCAAGTGTGCCTTTGGAGTCTCCTCGGGAAAGTTCCTTGGTTTTATGGTAAACAACCGGGGGATCGAAGCTAACCCAGAGAAGATAAAGGCCGTGCTCGAGATGGAGGCACCCAAGACTCTCAAGCAACTTCAGTGCCTCAATGGCAGGATTGCAGCCCTGAATAGATTCGTTTCGAGGTCAACAGATAAGTGYCTTCCTTTCTTCAAAGTCCTAAGAAATAAGGGACCGTTCGAGTGGACTGCAGAGTGCGAGCAAACACTGGAGCAGTTGAAAAACTACCTCTGCTCGGCACCTCTGCCAGCAAAACCGTTGCCAGGAGATAAGCTCCTCTTATACCTGGCAGTGTTTGACAGCGCTGTCAGCTCGGCCTTAATCAAACAGGAGGGAGTGCGCCAAAGTCTCATTTATTACACAAGCAAAGCTATGACCGAGGCGAGACCAGGTATCCTCAAATGGAGAAGCCGGCCTTCGCCTTAGTCACCTCGGCCCGAAGACTTAGGTCGTACTTCCAAGCGCACACCGTCATAGTACTTACCGATTTGCCCTTGAAGAACATCTTCCATAAGCCAGAAACATCAGGGCGCCTGATGAAGTGGGCAATGGAGTTGAGTGAATACGACATTCA